TATTTGATTTAAATTATTCTTTAGCTTAAAAGAAAAACAGTTACTGCTTTTCTAAAAACATGGCTAATTGAGGTAAGTCTACTTGTTAGATCTCATTGAAGTATAGACTGGTCCTGCCTATACTTATAGAAGAAAAGCCAGAGAGTTGTAATGCAAAAAATACATAAAGGGAGTCCTAAAGTTTGTCTCCATCTCAACTATAAGCATATAAAAATCAATCTTAAAATCCCTATTTTTTCCAAAAGAAGCATTATACTGGTGGGTTCTCTCTTACAACCTGAGTCAGTCAAATCAAAGTCAGGTGATTTATGCACATCAAAATAAAGTACATAAAAACAACTTAAAGAATTTACAATGAAATTATTATATACACAACTAACTAAGATGATAAAATTAGGCTTAACACAGTTGCTCACAACTGTAATCCTAGCACTTTGGGAGGCTGAGGTGGGTAGATCACCTGAGGTCAGGAGTTTGAGACCAGCCTGGCCAACATGGTGAAACCTTGTCTCTACTAAAAATGCAAAAATAGGCTGGGCACCTGTAATCTCAGATAATTGGGAAGCTGAGGCAGAAGAATCACTTAAACCCAGGAGGTGGAGGTTGCGGTGAGCTGAGATCACACCACTGCCCTACAGCCTGGGTAACAGAGTGAGACACTGTCTCGAAAAAAAAAAAATTATACTTATTACTCCCTTCTCAAATTCTTCTAACTGGCATTTTCTAGCTAGACCACCTACTTGGTTAGTTAGAAGAATTTGAGAAGGGAGTAATCAATACAACAAATCAATATATGTATTTTTTTGAGATGAAGTTTCACTCTTGTTGCCTAGGCTGAAGTGCAATGGCACAATCTAGGCTCACTGCAACCTCCGCCTCCCAGGTTCAAGTGATTCTCCTGCCTCAGCCTCCCAAGTAGGTGGGATTATAGGTGCCTGCCACCATTCCCTGCTCGTTTTATGTCTTAGTAGAGATGGGGTTTCACCATGATGGTTAGGCTGGTCTCAAACTCTTGAAAATCAATACTGTTGGCTGACTCACTGACTGGAAGGAGATGAAGAAAGCTGCATGTATCTTTGGAGAGAAAACTAAAATGTAAATATCAGCCTGTTCTAATTGCCAATCACAGCAAACTATTAATGCAGGGCTAACTTATTTGGCATTACAGTTCCCTTTATTCATTCTATTTGAATATTAGTGACATAATCACTAGCCAAGTAAGACTTATCTATGTTTTCTTTCTTTCTTTTTTTTTTTGGAGACAGAGTCTCACTGTCACCTAGGCTGAAGTACAATGGCGCAATCTCAGGTCACTGCAACCTCCACCTCCTGTGTTCAAGCGATTCTCCAACCCCAGCCTCCTGCGTAGCTGAGATTACAGACATGCGCCACCATGCCCAGCTAATTTGTGCATTTTTCGTAGAAATGGGGTTTCACCATGTTGGCCAGACTGGTCTCAAACTCCTGACGTCAAGTGACCAACCTGCCTCAGCTTCCCAAAGTGTTGGGATTACGGGCGTGAGCCTTATTTATGTGCCCAGCCTTATTTATGTGTCCTTAACACATTTACCTTATTCAGTCCTAGTCATTTATATGTATTTCACTTATCCTTGCCTTGCCAACTCTATCCCTCCTACAAATATAAACATGAATATAATGTCTGAGAACAATTAAGTACTAATCTTTTACTCATATTTAATTACCCTGTTGCATCTAGTACCATGGTTTTCAGAGAAGATATTTAATTGACTGAAATAAAAAATATATATGACTTAAGACTCCATCCTATCAAGTTTTATTTTTACAAGTTTTTTTCTATTTTTCTAATTTTTTAATTATTTGTCTGGCATGCAAACTTTTATTTTGTTTATATAGCACTAATAAATATCTAAAATTATCCTTTTCATTTGTTTTTATCTCTCCTGCACTAGAATCTAAGTCACAAGTCCTTATCTTATTTATAACCCTTTTCCCAATGCCTACAACAGCAGCAGGCACACAATACTTACTGAATGGATTATATAAAATGTGCCTACGTTAAAATACTTACTCAGAATCCTCCCTACCACCTTCAAAGAAAAAAGGCACAAACAATTGCATTTTTCATCCCTTGAAATTCAAGTCAAAACACAGAACGACAACAAATAAACGAAATCTTATTTCTCCCATGCTTGCTGTCACCTTTTGTTGCCACTAGATAGCATTCTTTCATCTGCTAGCAAAATACTGGAAAAGAAAAAAGCTTAAACATGGCAGAGTACACAAGTAAAATCATGAAGATAACCACTGATTAGCACAATGGTTAAGAATTTAAGCAGCAGGGCAACCCATTTATTGAAGCATTTTTCTCTTTGAGTCAATGGTCAGATTAAGATGCTGACTTTCCAACCCTCAACAATGTAACCTGAATCGATAAGAGTGAATGATCAAAAGCTTAATCTGACTACACTTTGACAAAAATTAGAAAATAGTCAAAGTGAAAATAGTAGGTGTTCAATAAATGCATTTAACTATCATACTATCTTTTAATCCTTCTTAACTGCTATCCTTTAGTATTGTTTTCATACTTACTTATTCCTCCCAAACAGAAGCATGGTGGTTCTGATGCTGCCTGTGCTTGAAAACATCATCACTCATGACCTTGGGCATATTTTAATTAATTAACTTCTGCGTATGGGCTCCTCAAACTGTAATGACCAAATGAGCAACTATCACATGGCTATCCTGGGAATAATAGTACATGTATGCTCTTCCAAGGCACCTAGGGCCCATTCACATTTAAGTGGTGTCCACTCAGCGAATTTATGGAAAAAAAAGGTATATGTCAAAAACCTAGAATAGTTTCTGCATATGGTCAGCTCTCAAAAGTTTACTAGTATTGTCATAATCTCACTAAAATGACATATAGCAAGCTTTCAAGAATGGTGACTATAATGTAAGAAAACTAGGAACTGGCTAGAAAAAAGATGAGTCATCACAGCTGGCAGATTCTTCACTTGTCTCTGACAAACACAAGGAAGATCTAACATTTACTGAGTCCTTTAGGTGCTAGGCACTGTGGCAAATTGTTGCAGTTATTGAACTGAATCACACCTTTCTGATCCCTTCCCACATTAACTCTGGATTTACTCATGTGACTTGCTTTGGCCACTGTAACACTAACAACATCCATCCAGCATGCTGAGGCTTGTCCTTGCTTGCATTTTGGGGCTTGCTCTCTCTTGCTGCTGCGATCTTTCTACCATCCTGTGAACAAGTTAGGTCTAGTCTCCTGTAGAATAGGTCACACGGAATTGGACTTTAGCCACCTCAGTCTGAAGCCCCAGAAGTGTAAGGCTATCCTAGATTCTAGGACCTAGACAATCTAGTCCTAGCCAGGTCAGCTCAGACTCTAAGAACATTCCAACCAACCACAGAATTGTAAGACCAATGTTTACTGATACAGGCCACTAACTTTTGGGATTGGTTTGTTATACAGCAAAAGCTAACTACAACCACCACCATATAAATATAAATATTTACTCGTTTTACATTTCAGGAAAGAAGATTCCCAAAACTACTAAGTCAGTTTGACCTCAAAGACTCTACTGTATCAAGCCACCTTTGCATGCTATACTCTAAGATTTTAGAATCTGGTGGTTTTATCCCACACCCTTATTTAAGCCTTTCCTTTGTAACAGAAGACAGAATACTATGGTCCATAGCCAAACCAACTCATCACCACTTTTTGTATGGCTCACAAGCTAAGAATGGTTTAAACACTTATTACTTGAAAAAGCAATCAAGAGAACAATAGTATAAAAATGTAAGGGCTGGGTGCAGTGGCTCACGCCTGTAATCCCAGCATTTTGGGAGGCTGAGGCGGGTGGATCACGAGGTCAAGAGATCGAGACCATCCTGGTCAACATGGTGAAACCCCGTCTCTACTAAAAATACAAAAAAATTAGCTGGGCACGGTGGCGCGTGCCTGTAATCCCAGCTACTCAGGAGGCTGAGGCAGGATAATTGCCTGAACCCAGGAGGCGGAGGTTGCGGTGAGCTGAGGTCGCGCCATTGCACTCCAGCCTGGGTAACAAGCGCGGAACTTCGTCTCAATTTAAAAAAAAAAAAAGTATATACACACACACACACAAAATACTTAGGAATAAATTTAACCAAAGAGGTGAAAGACTTGCACAATGAAAACTATTAAAACACTGATGAAAGAAATTGAAGACACAACTAATGGAAACATATTTCTATGTTTATGAACTTGAAGAGTTAATATTGTTAAAATGTCCTTACTACCCAAAACAACTTACAGATTCAATGCAGCCCCTAACAAAATTCCAATACTGGTTAGGAGCAGTTGACTCAAGCCTGTAATCCCAGCACTTTTGGGAGGTCAAGACAGAAGGATCAGGTGAGCCCAGGAGTTTGAGACCAGGGAAACACTGGAGACCCCATTTCTAAAAAAAAAATTAAAAATTAGCCAGGTGTGGTAGCATACTCTATAGTCCCAGCTACTCAGGAGGATAACCTGAGCCCAGAAGCTCGAGGTTACAGTGAGCTACTGCACTCTAGCCTAGGCAACAGTGTGAACCTGTCTCCCCACCAAAAAAATTTCCAACATCATTTTGTGATATGTAAAATAATATGAAACAAATTTTAGTGTTTCTTAATAAAATATTTTTGGAATACAGCCATATTCATTCATTTCTATACTGTACATGGCTACTTTTGCATTATAATACCAGAGTTGGGCAGTTGTGACAAAGACCATATGGACCACAAAGCCTATGAGATTTACTATTTGGACCTTTGTGTTTTTTAAATGTGCCAACTCCTGCTCGGAATTATTCACAGCATATGTTTTTAATTTTAAAAGATTTTGCTCAGCCTTTCGTGATGAGTAGTTTTGTATTTTTTCATACTTTCACTACTCTTTTCATTTTATTTAAAATTATTTTACATGTTATTTCTATTATTGTTTAACATTTTTTTTGGCTGGTTGCGGGGTGGGGGGTACTTTCCAGCAAAAATGGTAAATCCTGCTAAGACAAATTCTAAAAGAATTTTAACATTTGACTAAAGAGATATGGGTGCAAAAAATTAAATAAATAAATAAATATAAAATAAAGAACCTTAACACTTTTCTCCTTTATCTTTGGATGACCTGTGAATTTGTTTTTTTGTTTAAGACGGAGTCTTGCTCTTGTTGCCCCGGTTGGAGTTCAATGGCGCGATCTGGGCTCACTGCAACCTCTGCCTTCCAGATTCAAGCAATTCTCCTGCCTTAGCCTCCTGAGTAGCTGGGATTACAGGCACCTACCACCATGATTGGCTAATTTTTGTATATTCAGTAGAGACGGAGGGTTCACCAATTTGGCCAGGCTGGTCTTGAACTCCTAACCTCGTGGTCCACCCCTGCCTACCTCAGCTTCCCAAAGTTCTGGGATTACAGGCATGAGCCACTGCACCTGGCCTGAATTTGTATAAGAAAGACAACCCTGGTTGGGTGCGGTGGTTCACACTTGTAATTGCAGCACTTTGGGAAGCTGAGGCAAGCAGATCACAAGATCAGGAGTTTGAGACAGCCTGTCCAATATGGTGAAACCCTGTTGCTACTAAAAAACTATGAAAATTAGCCAGGTGTGGTGGCATGCGCCTATAGTCCCAGCTACTCGGAGGCTGAGGCAGGAGAATCACTTGAACACAGGAGGCGGAGGTTGTGGTGAGCCAAGATTCTGCCACTGCACTTCTGGGTGACAGAGCGAGACTCCATCTCAAAAAACAAAACAAAACAAAAAAACTGTGATCTTATATTCGCCAACTGTATTGTGATGTATTATGATGGAGGCAGAAAAAGATGTAGTAGAGATATTTTATCCAGAAGAGCCTCTAATTCCTCAGATCTGAAACTGTAATATTAACCATGTAGATATGAAATTCCCAATGGGGATTTAGGTTAGAAGTAGCTGTACAATCTCATCTCTTTTGTGTGATAAGCCTATTAGAATATTTGCCTGCCACTGATAACTAAGAACTTCAGAACCATTACTATTCTACTTCACCACCCTACTGCTAATCAATTCAGAAAGACACAAAATGAAGCCAACACTGAATGTCCTTTCACATTGATGTCAACCTCAATTTACTTGCCACTCCCATTTTTATCATGTTTCTTATTATAAACAAAATCCCCACAGTAATGATCATAAGTCCTAGTGGAGACTCAGCTGACTGCATGTGGCATCCGTGTAAAGAATAAAAAAATTGCCATAAAAACTAACCACTCTTATCTGCAGCATTTGCCAAAGACTTTCTTATGAGGCATTAGACAGATGCTCCTAATAGCCACTACAATTTGAAAGCCCTGAAGAAATTTATATGGTAAGTCTAAACTTATTAAACTATTTTGTGAAGCATAAAGCAGCTGAATCCATGCAGAAACATTTACAATATAGCTTTCTATGCTATTTGAATTAAATGTTTAGAAACAGATTCATTTTCTATTTTCATTTGTTTTTGTAACTACATATGAATTTTTAGCATATAAAAAAAGGGTTTCCCAGAAATGACCCCCCAATTATACTCTTACACAAGTAAATCAGGGTTCTAAATGTTAACTGTTCAACTTGCAATGACAATCCAGGAGCCAATTAGGTTGTATTGTCTCTGGTACATACAGAAAACCCAACAATATATGCCTAAAAAACATAGTTCTTCTCTTAGATTCCAGAGAAAGAACAGTTATTCCTACCTATGTAACAAACCTGCACATCCTGCATGTGTACCTCAGAACTTAAAAAAATAAATTTAAAAATAAAACAATTTAAAAAAAACCAGTTATCCCAAATAACCCCGTTTTAAGCAATTAAAAATTGTATCAATCGGTAATACCAAGACACCACAGCTGAGGAGGAGGTAGCCTAGAAGCTTCCTTTTCCAGGTAAATGGAGAAGTAGTGTGGATTCTTTAGTGTATTCTGATAGCCATTGTTACTTCAAAAAGAAAAAAGAAAAAAAATTGTATCATTGGCCAGACACAGAGGCTCACACCTGTAATCCCAGCACTTTGGGAGGCTGAGGCATGTGGGTCACTTGAGGTCAAGAGTTTGAGACTAGCCCAGCCAACCTGGTGAAACTCTGTCTCTAGTAAAAATATAAAAATTAGCTTGGTGTGGTGGTGTGCACCTGTAATCCAAGCTACTTGGGAAGCTGGGGCACGAGAATCATTTGAACCCAGTAGGCAGAGGTTGCAGTGAGCTGAGATCACACCACTGCAAGCACTCCAGTCCAGACTGGCTGATAAGCAAGACTGAGTCTCCAAAAAAAAAAAAACAAAAACATTGTGTCATCAACATATTAGGGTCATCAGGGTTTACTGAAAACAATTCTGAGATGTTGCTTAGGACTTTTTTGTCCTGGAACTAGCAATTGTAATCTTACCAATTCAGTAGTATATACAGAAGGATTGAGAAGAAAAGGTAGTATAAGCTGACCAAATGAAAGCCTTCTTTCTGAAAAAAGAACTATATCAATTTAGTGTGCCTAAAAAATCTATACTATCTTTGAGCCTAAGTAAGAAGTCTCCGTCCTGTGATCCTTTCTGTTAATCTATATTTTTTTCTTTGTATTTCTACTCAACCCTTTCTCAAAAACTTCTACTCGATTAATCCCACATGTACCCAATCACTGGGATCCAAGCATGCATACATTTAAATCAAAATAACTATATTTGTTTCTTGACTATTTTATGTTCATCTTACCGCATCAATATATTCAGCAGCTCTCTTTTGTCTGCACATTAATGCCTTTCTAAGATTCATTAACAGCATTTGAGCTAGCAATATAAAAGAACCCAAAGATAAAACGTCAATTTTCTCATTTTTAATTCTAATATATACTAAGTACTTAACGCTCTGTATCATAGGTTATTGTGCTAATTTTCTCTCTCTCTCTCTCTCTCTCTTTTTGAGACTGGCTCTGTCACCCATGCTGGAGTGCAGTGGCACAATCTTGGCTCACTGCAACTTCTGCTTCCTGGACTCAAGCGATCCTCCCACCTCAACCTCCCAAGTACCTGGCACCACAGGCACGCACTACCAAACCCAGCTAATTTTTGTATTGTTTTAATAGAGACGGCGTTTTGCCATGTTGCCCAAGCTGCTCTTGAACTCCTGAGCACAAGGCATTCACCCACATTGGTGTTCCAAAGTGCTGGGATTACGGGTGTGAGCCATTGCACCATCTAATTTTCTTTTACTTTATTTAAATTGCTTAAAACATTCTACCAATGGAACATAGATGGTTCACAGGGAATATACTTTTAATGGTTGAATAGTTAAGAGCTCTAATTGGTTTATCATCACTTGATGCCTAAATTGACATCAGTTTATAAGATTAAAAAGAATTAAGGCCAGGCACTGTGGCTCATGCCTGTATTTCTGGCACTTTGGAGGCCAAGGCAGGTGGATCACCTGAGGTCAGGAGTTCAAGACCAGCCTGGCCAACATGGGGAAACCTCATCTCTACTAATACAAAAAATTAGCTGGATATGGTGGTTTGGGCCAGTAATCCCAGCTACTCAGGAGGCTGAGGCAGGAGAATCACTTGAACCCAGGAGGTGGAAGTTGCAGTGAGCTGAGATCACGTCACTCTAGCCTTGGAGACAAAGTGGGACTCTGTCTCAAAAAAAAAAAAAAAAAAACAAAAAAACGGGGGGGATTATATAATCTTTATTTCACAAGGTAGTTCTAAAAACAATACTGAACCATAGTCTCATGCTCACTTTGACAGCACATATACCGAACCATAGTCTCTTATCCTTTATGACTTGATACCATTTTATAAATTTTAAATCCAAATACCAGGAGGATACTATTTGAGGAAAGCTAGCTATAAATGAAACTCTGGTGCAAATCCAGTTCAGCCATTTTACTGATTTAATGGGGAAAAGGTCTGTCAGTCAAAGCTGAAAGAAAATGCAGCTTATTGTCTTCAAAGAGAGAACTTACACCAGGCTAGCAAAAGAAACAACTTTATCCCTCCTCATAAAAACGTAATATTACAAGTAAGCTTTTTAGAAATAGTTCAACCAGTTCATCTAAAACCAATTAGAAACAGGACATGTGGCCAGAAACACCACATGTGTGGTGGCTCACATTTATAATTCCAACACTTTGGGAGGCTGAGGAGGATCGCATGAGGCCAGAAATTGAAGAACAGTCTGAGAAACACAGGGAGACTCTGTCTCTACAAAAATTTTTTAAAAGTAGCCATGTATGGTGGCTCATGCCTCTAGTCCCAGCTATTGGGAGGCTGAAGCAGAAGGACTGCTTGAGCTGAGGAGTTCAAAGCTGCAGTGAGCTATGATTACTGCATTCCAGACTAGGTGAGAGAGTAAGACCCTGTCTCTCAAAAGAGGGGGAAAAAAGAAAAGAAAGGGCACACATCTGTGTGTTCTGATATGAGAAGACAGCCAAACCATAACTAAGTAAAAAAGTTGCTTTCTAATTTTTTTATGTTAGTATAGTATAAAAAAAACGGTAGAGAAATACGCACTAAATTTCTGATAGTGGTTATCTCTCAATGGAGTATTTGGAAAATGAACTCCAGGCTTTCGTCTTTCGCATTTTGCTCTGATATATATATATATATACATGAATCTTTTACTTTAATAGAAAAAACAAGATTTTAAAAAATTTATAAACTTTACTTTTGTTAAGTGGAGCAAATTACATCTGAAAGTTTTGGGTCACTCATTATGATTATGAGGACTGAAACAAAAGCATCTAGCCCACTGCCTAGCATACAGGAAAAGCTCAATAAATGTTAGTGTACTTCCAGTTCTGAAATGTCTTCTAATATTACCAAGTTTTATACTGACCCATGAGTATAATTTTGTAGCTGCTGCTTATTCTAGCTTCTCCTTTGCTATTAGGTACCATTTCTTGCTATTGTCAGTATACCCACTTTTAGAAGTACCCTCTGCCACATACTGCTTCAAATCTGCCATAAACACTTTCAGCTTCCAAAACATCTTAATTGTGCCTACTGTGTCTTTTTTTTTTTTTTTTGAGAC